CTAATTCCATTGTTCCAGTCGACCAAACTCATAGCTATTTCTTTAGAACTCCATTTTTTCTATCGATTGAGTACAAGAAACTGCCCATTTACTGATTTCAACTACCTAATAATGTGGTCAGAAATTTGCAATTTGGCCAATTTCACGAAAACTAAAAAATATGACAATTTCAAAATAAGGTCCAGAATGAACAATGCAGACATTTCTGGCTCTAAAATAACATTTTCTTTGTTCATCAGTCATGTCTCCAGGCCCCTCTGATATTACTCTTGCTTTCTATTTTGAATTTTTATTCAAACAAAAAATTGAAGACTTATATTATGCAGACTACTGAAATACTTTTATAATTGTATAAATAACATCAACCATTCAGACTCCCTATCAGAATGGTTTGTTGGACATTTATTGGATAATGGCATCATTTGTTTACTTTTGAACATTGGCAAAAATCAAACATTTCCCCTACTTTGAGCTCCATCTATAGGTTCTTTTTATAGTAAAATCAATCAAAATCACCTCTATTTCTATAATATGTTTTCCATTATATCAAATGAGACCAAGAAAACGAGAATACAACCATAAATACATGTACTATACGAAAATAGACCACAAAGTCGGCATTTTAATTAAAAAAAACGGTCGGAGTTTTTTTTTTCCCCATTATGCACTGCGTGCTCCAGGATTTTTTTTATATGGTGCACACTGACCACACAGACCCATTCTCTCACATGTGGGCCTACCAGCTTTCTCCTGCTTGATTTGAAGCTGCTAGAATTTATGAGTATATATACGTCAAACACGGTACCTCGTAAGACGTATATATACGGCCGCGACAGTCAAAGGGTTAAAGGAGGAGTTTGGGATATTGGCAGTTTGGAGGGATAAGTTATACATGTTTACATATGCTTCTAAACTGTTGTATCTTGTTGCCTCTGCAAAGACAGTGATTATGTATAAGTGAGGTGAAAGTGTTGAATGATGATGAAAGTATTTTCTTTTTGGGTCACTCTGCCTCGGTGGGAGATGGCCGACTTGTTGAAAAAAAAAATTATATTATTATTATTAATTTATGGAACTAAAGCACAGATCCAATTCCCTAGATCTAGAGCCCCTCATCACATATGTACTACTACTACTAATAATAATAATAATAATTATAATAATTATTAATAATAATAATAATAATCATAATAACAGTAAGGAGAAACTTCAAAAGGCTGCCAATAGTTGGCACTACCATCAGCAAAACATTGGTAACCACTATACTACTTTTTACCTGTCTAGACTTAATTAAGTATAGTCTATAAGTATTAGGTTAAGTCTGCCCAAAATGCTTCAGCATGATAGTAGCTTTCTTTGCTCCAGTCCTATTATGATACGTAAACACACATAGTAATCTTTGCAAAGAAATAAATAATTTATTTAAGGGTAGTTAGTAGGTTGGTAGACAGCAACCACCCAGGGAGCTACTGCCGTCCTGCCAAGTGAGTGTAAAACGAAAGCCTGTAATTGTTTTACATGATAGTAGGATTGCTGGTGTCTTTTGTCTCTCACATAAATATGCAAGATTACAGGTACGTCTTGCTGCTTCTACTTACACTTAGGTCACACTACACATACATATACAAGCATATATATACACACCCCTCTGGGTTTTCTGCTATTTTCTTTCTAGTTCTTGTTCTTGTTTATTTCCTCTTATCTCCATGGGGAAGTGGAAAAGAATTCTTCCTCCGTAACTCATGCGTGTTGTAAGAGGCAACTAAAATGCCGGGGGTAAGGGGCTAGTAACCCCTTCTCTTGTATAAATTACTAACTTTAAAATGAGAAACTTTCGTTTTTCTTTTTGGGTCACCCTGCCTTGGTGGGATACGGCCGGTTTGTTGAAAAAAAAAAAAAATTATTTAAGGAACCTCCCTTGAGGGGGAAGTTTGCATCCTGAAATTCTGTTAGTATCCAGAAGCAAAAAATCTACCGAATGACTGTTCGTATCCTGAAAAGTTCGCATGGTGAGGTGTTCGCAAGCCGAGGTTCCACTGTATTATAAAACTCTAAAATTTATCAAAACTTACGCACACAAACAATTACACATCATACATGTTCCATTCGCATTCAAGAGAAATGTAAACATATATAACAATGAAATATTAAATCATGAATAAATATGAATTTCTTTTTGACATTATCCTTTCATTATTTTGATGTCTAGTGTCAGTAATAATGTACATAAAACATGTGTAATGTTTTGTATCATACAAGACAATACTGACGTAGTTACTGATAGACAGGCGATTCATCTTGTAAAGAGACAATGAAAACTTACAGTACCTATAAAAACAGTACAGTAAATGTATTTTCTCTTCTTTATAATTTTCTTAATAACATTTTCTTTTCTCTAGCTTACCTTATTGTAAGAATACAGTATATAATACATATAAATGTTCTAGGTAGTAGGTTGGTGGACAGCAACCGCCCAGGGAGGTACTACCGTCCTGCCAAGTGAGTGTAAAACGAAAGCCTGTAATTGTTTTACATGATGGTAGGATTGCTGGTGTCCATTTTTTGTCTCATAAACATGTAACATTTCAGGTACATCTTGCTACTTCTTACACTTAGGTCACACTACACATACATAAATAACAAAAAGGCACAATACCGTGACTGGAACGTCGTCGTAAGCTTCTGTCTTTTATGTGCGGGTTATTTGTGTACACATACATATACAAGCATATATATACACACCCCTCTAGGTTTTCTTCTATTTTCTTTCCGGTTCTTATTCTTGTTTATTTCCTCTTATCTCCATGGGGAAGTGGAACAGAATTCTTCCTCCATAAGCCACGCGTGTTGTAAGAGGCGACTAAAATGCCGGGAGCAAGGGGCAAGTAACCTCTTCTCCTGTATATATTACTAAATGTAAAAGGAGAAACTTTCGTTTTAACTTTTGGGCCACCCCGCCTCGGTGGGATACGGCTGGTGTGTTGAAAGAAAGAAATGTTCTACGTAGTAGGTTGACAGACAGCAACTGTCCAGGGAGGTACTACTGTCCTGCCAAGTGAGTGTAAAATGGAAGCCTGTAATTGTTTTACATAATAGTAGCATTGCTGGTATCTTTTTTCTGTCTCGTACACATGCAAGATTTCAGGTACATCTTGCTACTTCTCCTTACACTTAAGTCACACTACACGTACATGTACAAACATATATATACACACCCCTCTGGGTTTTCTTCTTAATAGTTCTTGTTCTTGTTTATTTCCGCTTATCTCCATGGTAAAGTGGAACAGGATTCTTCCTCCGTAAGCAATACGTGTCGTAAGAAGTGACTAAAATGCCGGGAGCAAGGGGCTAGTACCCTCTTCTCCTGTATATACAGTAGACCACTGTTTAACGTTTAACTTAGTAGTTAAAACTGTGTTAGACAAACTGAAGTACTTATGGGAAAAATAGGGTTACGTTCCTGGGAGTTCCCAAAAAGCCAAGCAACTTTTCTTTAGACCAACAGATCTTACAGAAATAAAAGTGAATATGTAATTGTAGTTCATTGTTGTGATATATTATGTTGTTTTTACTGCTTAAGATTACAAATGAAACAGAAATAATAGTATTTCTTACCTTAAATTGTGGGTGCTGGTGTTTGTGGATGATTGTGGAGAGTGGAGAGTTATGCTGTGGCCCTACTGGGCTGAGGTGGATGGTAGAGGTTCTGGTACTGAAGCCAATGGTTGTACTGGAGTGTGCATAAATTCTGTAATGGATTTCTGTTCTATTTTACCCTGCAGTACATTATACAACTGATGGTAAGGCATCAGCTGCTCTACACACTGTTTCAGGGTCCTCTTCAGTGAAAAAGTCTAACTTTAAGTCAAGTCAGTAAGTCAGTTAATCAGTCAGTCATCACACAAACTCATATTTACCTCATTCATTTTATGTGCAGAAAGTGACGCTTCATTACGGCCACAGGCTATCTCGTCTAATATCTCTATTTTCTTTGTTAATTCCAAGACATAAACAAATAAACTTTTTCTTGCCACTTTCAGCAACACATGTATGCCTACTGGGTGCCATGATTGCTTGGCAGATTTAAGATATGGCAATTAAAAGATCTAAACTCAATCCACTAACAAAAATAAACACAGCTAGTTCCTAGCAGATGATGTTTCAATGCGCATATGAACCCAAGGGTGGTGGGGGTGGCGGAGGTTGGCGGTAGGTCTCCCCCGTTGACTCAATGGTCTAACACACAGCCAGGCAGTGTGTATCCCATGGTCAACACTCCAAAATTTTTCCCCTTCCACAAACTGAACCGTGTTAAGTTAATTTTACGAAGTGTTATACAAAAATATGCCACAATTCTTCAATCATGCTATAACCAAAACATGCCAAACAAAACCATGTTAAATGACGGTCTACTGTATTACTAAATTGAAAGGGAGTACTTTTGTTTTTCCTTTTGGGTCACCCTGCCTCGGTGGGGTACGGCCAGTTTGTTGAAAGAAAGAAGAAAACATAAATGTGTGTTAATCAACTGTTTGTGTTGTCAGTAAGGCTTCCGGTTCAACAGTAGGCTATTAGTAAAGTTTTTGAAAAGTCAAGAGTTATACGTGGATTTTCAACTGCACAAGGGGACGGCATCTCTAATCCCTGCACTGTTCAAGGGTCAACTGTAATATTTTTACTTTCCTAAAACATAAATGATCCAAGTTTACTGTACTGAAAATGTCCAGAGTCCTATGTTATACCAAGTGTTCTTAAAAATCATCCCATTTTTCATCTAATTTACACTGAAACCGAAACAGATCTTTACAGCATTTATAATTAATGGTTTGCACTGAACAGAAACATAAGTATCAAGCATCAGTTACTACTAGAATTATTTGTTTTTGGTACTGTTTACTTCCACTTATCTTGCTGCATACATGTTTTTCAGATTACAGACAAGCTACAACAAATGAGTAATTATTTGAATAGAAAAAATCCTAATACTGTAAGAAATTAACCTGTGTTAGATGAGTCTGTGTGGCCTGTATATCATCACTGGCTTTCAAGAACAGCCTCCTCTGCAGCTTCTTGAGCAGCACCAGCTTCATTGAGGGCCTCCACAACACGTTCTGCAACACTTAATGTTCCTTCAGCTTTCCTCTTAGCCTGGTCAGCACGCTCTGTTGAAAATAATCAGGTTTTTGTCTGTAAAGCCATCTACTACAGTATATCTTGTGTGTTATTCTAATCAAGTAATGCACATTGAGCCCCCAGAAAAAAATACCCAAGTAGAATCTTTCCAAAATAACAACATGAAGCATAGTGTTTTTCAAACAAGTGTAATGGTGAAAATTAAATTTTTTACATAACAGGGTGGTGAATGAATCTCAATTTCAAGCACAAATGATGCTATCATGAGGCAGACGAGTAGGTAAGAAGGCACAAGGAAACAATTTTGCTTACCAATCAAGGGAGAAGGAATCTGTAGCAGATGTCAAAGTACAGTAGTTGTGATTATAATGGTTAACTCCTTGTGGTAAACAAATTCATATTCAGAGCACACTGACTCACTACCAATGACACAAAGTCTCAGAATGAAGTTTCAACATGTGCTACCCCAGGTAAGATCAAGAGGAGAGGAATGAACTCTGTCTCACAATAGGAGTCAATGGTCACAGAAGCCTTTGAGCTGGAGTGGTGAAGCTGAGTCTGGGCTATGCAACTGTCAGAAAACATTGCCGAGATCAAACTCCATGGGCATCCATAGTGAACAATCATGAGCTGAATTCTTTCCAGCACACTGAAAATAAGATATTCTCCCATCAGCCTGACTGGCTGGCTGCAAGAATAGCACATCCATCTGATGATTAGTGGATGAAGGATTGAGCCTCCATTATTTGTGTAGCATGTCCCACACAGGTTTACAGCTTCATATAAATATAGAGTATAAAAATATGAATCATCAAAAATGAAGTTGATGAAACCACTAAGTCACTGAGCTGTAACACACACTTGTGGGTAGCTCTCCAACTGGAAGCTAATGCATCGATCAGGAGGCAGTGTGAAGGAGAGAGGAACGAAATAGACACCAAACTCCAAAGGTTGGGAGGAACTGGCTATCACTGGAGAGCCTACAAGGATCTTTCAAAAGTATATGAATATGTTTGGAAAGATGCAATGGAAAAAAAAATTGTCAACAAAATAAGTCAAGGTGAATGTAAATCTCCATGAGGACTTGGAATTTAGAGGTGTTGAGTTACTAAAAGTATTATTCAGAGGACTAAGGAGGGGTTGTTGAGGTGGTTTGGTCATTTAAAGAAGATGGAGCACAACAGGATAACTTGGAGGGTGTATAAATCTGTAGTGGAGGAGGGGTAGGGGTCATCCTAGGAAGGGATGGAGGGAAGAGGTAAAAAGAGGGTTTTGTGTGCAAGGGGCTTGGACATACAGCAGGCATGTGAAAGCATTTTAGATAGGAGTGAATAGAGACAAATGGTTTTTGGGACTTGACGAGTTACTGGAGAGTAAGTAGGGTAATATTTTGTGAAGGGATTCAGGAAAACCGGTTAGCCGGACTCGAGTCCTGGAGGTGGGAAGTAAAATGCCTGCATTTTCAAAGAGAGGTTTGGAATATTTGCTGTTTGGAGTGATAACTGAAATGTCATATCTGCATTCCTCTGCAAAGAATGTGATTATGTTTGAATGATGGTGAAAGTTTCTCTCTTTTGGGTCACCCTGCCTCGGTGGGAGATGTTCAAAAAAAGTACAATAAAATGTAAGTATAGAGTCAAGAAAGTAAAGTCTGCAAGAATGATATAGAGCACAATATATTGAAAACAAAGAAGGGGGATCAGGGCATACATATAAACTGCAACTTATCAACAGAATATATCACAAAGGCAGTAATCAGAAATTTATATACAATAGTACTATTCTGTACAGACAAATTTCAAGAATCTTCTGACATTATCATTAGCAACATGCTACACATACTGCATATGTACACATATTAAGTGCATCTCCATGAATATAATGATAACAATTATAATTCATTTAGAGAGAATGGATCGAAGTAGAATGACATGGAGAGCGTATAAATCTGTAGGGGAAGGAAGGCGGGGTAGGGGTCGTCCTCAAAAAAGTTGGAGGGAGGGGGTAAAGGAGGTTTTGTGAGCGAGGGGCTTGGACTTCCAGCAAGCATGTGTGAGCGTGAATGGAGAGGAATGGTATTTGGGACCTGACGAGCTGTTGGAGTGTGAGCAGGGTAATATTTAGTGAAAGGATTCAGGGAAACCGGTTATTTTTATATAGCCGGACTTGAGTACTGGAAATGGGAAGTACTGTACAATGCTTGCAGAGGTTTGGGATATTGATAGTTTGGAGGGATATGTTGTGTATCTTTATACGTATATGCTTCTAAACTCTTGTCTTCTGGGCACCTCTGCAAAAACAGTGATTATGTATGAGTGAGGTGAAAGTGTTGAATGATGATGAAAGTATTTTCTTTTTGGGGATTTTCTTTCTTTTTGGGTCACCCTGCCTCGGTGGGAGACGGCCAACATTTTAAAAAAGAAAAAATTATAATTTTGCTTTTAAGTATTAAAAGAAATGTTACATTATTCAGTTAATTTTATCATATACCATGAATTTAAGAATACAAAAAAAAAAAAGATGGTATACCTCCCTGGCCAGTGCACGAAATTACCGCCTCCCTTTTTTTTTTTTTTTTTTTTTTTTAAATGTTAAAGAAGAAAGGGAGGCGGTAATTTCGTGCACTGGCCAGGGAGGTATACCATTTTTTTAGGAGTGAAGAAGAGCAGACTGTAAGTGTGGTGGAGGTACGTGAGGCATTACGTAGAATGAAAGGGGTAAAGCAGCTGGGAAATGATGGATCATGACAGAAATGTTAAAAGCAGGGGGGGATATAGTGTTGGAGTGGTTGGTACTTTTGTTTAATAAATGTATGAAAGAGGGAAGGTACCTAGGGGTTGGCGGAGAGCATGTATAGTCCCTTTATATAAAGGGAAAGGGGACAAAAGAGAACGTAAAAATTATAGAGGAATAAGTTTACTGAGTATACCAGGAAAAGTATACGGTAGGGTTATAATTGAAAGAATTAGAAGTAAGACAGAATGTAGAATTGTGGACGAACAAGGAGGTTTCAGAGTGGGTAGGGATGTGTAGATCAAGTGTTTACATTGAAGCATATATGTGAACAGTATTTAGATAAAGGTAGGAAGTTTTTATTGCATTTATGGATTTAGAAAAGGCATATGATAGAGTGGATAGAGGAGCAATGTGGCAGATGTTGCAAGTATATGGAATAGGTGGTAAGTTACTAAATGCTGTAAAGAGCTTTTATGAGGATAGTGAGGCTCAGGTTAGGGTGTGTAGAAGAGAGGGAGAATACTTCCCGGTAAAAGTAGTCTTAGACAGGGATGTGTAATGTCACCATGGTTGTTTAATATATTTATAGATGGGGTTGTAAAAGAAGTAAATGCTAGGTGTTCGGGAGAGGGGTGGGATTAAATTATGGGGAATCAAATTCAAAATGGGAATTGACACAGTTACTTTTTGCTGATGATACTGTGCTTATGGGAGAATTCTAAAGAAAAATTGCAAAGGTTAGTGGATGAGTTTGAGAATGTGTGTAAAGGTAGAAAGTTGAAAGTGAACATAGAAAAGAGTAAGGTGATGAGGGTATCAAATGATTTAGATAAAGAAAAATTGGATATAAAATTGGGGAGGAGGAGTATGGAAGAAGTGAATGTTTTCAGATACTTGGGAGTTGACGTGTCGGCGGATGGATTTATGAAGGATGAGGTTAATCATAGAATTGATGAGGGAAAAAAGGTGAGTGGTGCGTTGAGGTATATGTGGAGTCAAAAAACGTTATCTATGGAGGCAAAGAAGGGAATGTTAAAGAAAGTAAGTAGTACCAACACTCTTATAAGGATGTGAAGCTTGGGTTGTAAATGCAGCAGCAGAGGAGACGGTTGGAGCAGTGGAGATTGTCCTGTCTAGGCAATGTGTGGTGTAAATATTATGCAGAAAATTCGTTTGTGTGGACATTAGGAGAATTGTGGAGTTAATAAAAGTAAAACATTAGTAGAGGGCAGAAGAGGGGTTTTTGAGGTGGTTTGGTCCATTTAGAGAGAATGGTCAAAGTAGAATGACATGGAAAGCATATAAATCTCAGGGGAAGGAAAGAGGTAGGGGTCTCCTCGAAAGGGTTGGAAATAGGGGGTAAAGGAGTTTTGTGGGTGAGGGGCTTGGACTTCCACAAGCGTTGCATGAGCGTGTTAGATAGGAGTAATGGAAACGAATGATACTTGGGACCTGAGGGATCTGTTTGGATTGTGAGCAGGGGTAATATTAGTGAAAGGATTCATGGGAAACCGGTTAATTTCATATGAGTCCGGGCTTGAGATCCTGGAAAGGGAAAGTTACAAATTCCCTGCACTTTAAAGGAGGGGTTTTGGGATAATGGCAGTTTGGAGGGTATGTTGTGTATCTCTATACTAAATGCTTCTAAACTGTAATAAGATCTGAGCAACCTCTGCAAAAGCAGTGAAAAGTGTGAGTGTGGTGAAAGTGTTGGAATGATGATGAAAGTATTTTCCTTTTGGGATTTTTCTTTCTTTTTTTTTGGTCACCCTGCCTCTTTGGGAGACGACCGACTTGTTGAATAAAAAAAAAAAAAAAAAAAAAAAAATTAAAAATAAATTGTTTAGAATTAAATATTTTGCAAAACCCGAGGATAATATGAGCTTCATAATATTGTATGAATCACTATCCTCCACTGTCCCTTTATCCTATATAATAATTTTTTTGCTAATAAATATATTATACTTATTTTTATGCAACAGCCTTCTCCCTGAGGAAGGGCGACCTAAAAAGAAAAAACTTTTCATTGTTCTCATTTTACATTTAGTAATTTATCAGGACAGGTTACTAGCTCCTTGTTCCTAGCATTTTTCGTCACTTATGAACGCGGTGGCTTACAGAGAAGGAATCCTTCCTTCCCCATGGAATGCAAATATTTACATATAGTACAGTATATATTTTTTTTATTTCAAGGTTTACATTTGCTCTCTTACTATGAACACTGAATCATCACAATTAACACAGTTTTTCCTACAAATTCACAAGAGGTGGGAGGGGTGCAAAAGTAGAAACCACAATTACGAAATTCACTAGAACAACAAATTGTGTTGGATTTTGGCTCATTTTGTATTTGAGATAATATTTCACACTAATCTGGCTAATATTGATTTTTTTTTTTTCAACAAGTCGGCCGTCTCCCACCGAGGCAGGGTGACCCAAAAAAAGAAAGAAAATCCCCAAAAAGAAAATGCTTTCATCATCATTCAACACTTTCACCTCACTCACACATAATCACTGTTTTTGCAGAGGTGCTCAGAATACAACAGTTTAGAAGCATATACGTATAAAGATACACAACATATCCCTCCAAACGCCAATAACCCCAACCCCTCCTTTAAAAGTGCAGGCATTGTACTTTCCCATTTCCCAGTAACTCATGTCCGACTATATAAAATAAATGGTTTCCCTGAATCCCTTCACTAATATTACCCTGCTCACACTCCAACAGAATCGTCAGGTCCCAAGCACCGATTCGTCCCATTCACTCCTACTAACACGCTCACCACTGCTTGCTGGAATCCAAGCCCCTCACCCACAAAACCTCCTTACCCCCTCTCTCCAACCCTTTCGAGGACGACCCCTACATTGCCTTCCTTCGGCTAAAAGATTTATATGCCTTTCCATGTCATTCTACTTTGATCCATTCTCTCTAAATGACCAAACACCACTCAACAACCCCTCTTCTGCTCTTTAATACTATTATTAACTCCACACCTTTTCCTAATTTCCACACTCCGAATTTTCTGCATAATATTTACACCACACATTGCCTTAGAACAGGACATCTCCACTGCCTCCAACCGTCTCCTCGCTGCTGCATTTACCACCCAAGCTTCACACCCATATAAGAGTGTTGGTACTACTATACTTTCATACATTCCCTTCTTGCCTCCATAGATAACTTTTTTGACTCCACATATACCTCAATGCACCACTCACCTTTTTTCCCTGATCAATTCTATGATTAACCTCATCCTTCATAAATCCATCCGCCGACACGTCAACTCCCAAGTATCTGAAAACATTCACTTCTTCCATACTCTCCTCCCCAATTTATATCCAATTTTTCTTTATCTAAATCATTTGATACCCTCATCACCTTACTCTTTTCTATGTTCACTTTCAACTTTCTACCTTTACCCACATCCCAAACTCATCCACTAACCTTTGCAATTTTTCTTTAGAATCTCCCATAAGCACAGTATCATCAGCAAAAAGTAACTGTTAATTCCCATTTTGAATTTGATTCCCCATAATTTAATCCCACCCCTCTCCTGAACACCCTAGCATTTACTTCTTTTACAACCCCATCTATAAATATATTAAACAACCATGGTGACATTACACATCCCTGTCTAAGACCTACTTTTACTGGGAAGTAGTCTCCCTCTCTTCTACACACCCTAACCTGAGCCTCACTATCCTCATAAAAACTCTTTACAGCATTTAGTAACTTACCACCTATTCCATATACTTGCAACATCTGCCACATTGCTCCCCTATCCACTCTATCATATGCCTTTTCTAAATCCATAAATGCAATAAAAACTTCCCAACCTTTATCTAAATACTGTTCACATATATGCTTCAATGTAAACACTTGATCTACACATCCCCTACCCACTCTGAAACCTCCTTGCTCATCCGCAATCCTACATTCTGTCTTACCTCTAATTCATAAGAAATAATGATCAGAATAAAACATGATCTGAGTATAGGAATGCCAATAAGAAAGAAATAAATGGTTTATTTAATCTATTCACTGATTGCCCACCAATAAAAACATTGGATAATCAAAATCTAAGAATAAAGAAGCCTGCAAATTTGTAGAGAAATTAATATATATATACATACATACAATCTGTAGCTAATTTGAATAATCAAGATTTCACATTATTCTTAAAAATCGTTTTTAATGTACTTTGACTGTACAGTGGACCCCCGGTTAACGAACTTTTTTCATTCCAGTAGTATGTTCAGGTGCCAGTACTGACCGAATTTTTTCCCATAAGGAATATTGTGAAGTAGATTAGTCCATTTCAGACCCCCAAACATACACGTACAAACGCACTTACATAAATACACTTACATAATTGGTCGCATTTGGAGGTGATCGTTAAGCGGGGGTCCACTGTACTTATTTTCTTTAAAACTGTAATATACTACAATACCAGTACCTTTAAGATGCACAGCCAGGTCCAGATCATTCCTCGTAGCATCAATAATGGCATCAATATTTGTAAGAGACTCGATTGTAAATGTAATTCTTTCAGCAAGGTCCGTAATCTGCTCTGGTCTTAAGGATATGTCCAGAGCTAAAACCTGTTAAAAGATACAGGTACAAGATGTAAGACAGTGTTTATTATGCATGTATGCCGGGTGGCACTGTACGTCAACTTTCTTTTATAGGTTGTTGAGGTGGTTAGGTCATTTAGAGAGAATGGATCAAAGTAGAATGGCATGGAGAGCTTATAAATCTGTAGGGGAAGGAAGGCGGGGTAGGGGTCGTCCTCAAAAAGGTTGGAAGGAAGGGATAAGGGAGGTTTTGTGGGCGAGGGGCTTGGACTTCCAGCAGGCGTGCATGAGCATGTTCGATAGGAGTGAATGGAGACGAATGGTATTTGGGACCTGATGAGCTGTTGGAGTGTGAGCAGGGTAATATTTAGTGAAGGGATTCAGGGAAACCGGTTATTTTTATATAGCTGGACTTGAGTCCTGAAAATGGGAAGTACAATGCCTGCACTCTAAAGGAGGGGTTCGGGATATTAGCAGTTTGGAGGGATATGTTGTGTATCTTTATACATATATGCTTCTAAATTGTTGTGCTCTGAGCACCTCTGCAAAAACAGTGATTATGTGTGAGTGAAGTGAAAGTGTTGAATAATGATGAAAGTATTTTCTTCTTGGGGGATTTTCTTTCTTTTTGGGTCACCCTGCCTCGGTGGGAGACGGCCGACTTGTTAAAAAAAAAAAAAAACTTTATATATGTAATGCATACCCTGTATTATTTAACCCTTAAATTGTCCAAATGTAGATCTACGTTTATGCACGTAGCACTCCAACCTTGATTTTCTCCAAAAGAAAGCATGTAAAAAGAAAACCGTAGATCTACGTTCGGTGCGCTACGCGAGCGAATGTAAATCTACGTTTGGACAGTTTAATGCTTAAGAAATACAGGTGAAAATATTCACATACATCAGGGCCCTACTTATACGGCAGGTTAGTTCCAGGCTACTGCCGGAAAGCGGACATCACCGGAAAGCAGAATACTTATAAATGCGTATACTGTAAATGCCAGACAACAAGTTTATACTAACTTATATTCAGTTAGTAATAGAACTAGGCATTAAAAACACAATAAAAAGTAAAATGCATACACAGCACATTCATTAATGTAGGGCGAGAGGTGAGTAGTACTTTATGCAAACTCTCTGCTGCCTATTTGTCAACCATGCCTCTACCCAGGAAAAAATGTCGCCTCCTATTCCGTGTGCCTTAAGTTTCCTCAATAATCTCTGATGTGGAACTCTATCGAAAGCCTTACTGAAGTCCATATACACAATATCACATTCAATACCATGATCTACCTCCTCAAATACCTTAGTGAAGAAAGTTAGTAAACTCGCAAGACAGAAATGCCCCTTTGTAAAACCATGCTGAGATTCATTAATCAATTTATGCCTTTCAAGATGGCTACGAATTGCTTTTGGAATTACTGATTCCATAAATTTTCCCACTATGGAGGTATAGCTTATTGGTCTATAGTTTGAAGCTAAGGACCTGTCACCTGCCTTGTAAATAGGTATTACATTTGCCATTTTCCACTTATCAGGCACTATACTAGTTTGTAGTGATTTGTTGAAAAGATTAGCCAAAGGTATGCCTAGTTCCTCTTCACATTCCTTTAACACCCTTGCAAACAGTTCATCAGGACCTGGGGATTTATTAGGTTTTAATTTCTCCATTTGTCTGAGAACCATATCACTAGTTACCCTAATCGTGCATAGTTTTATCGTCCTGTTCTACATAATCTGTTATTTCTGGAATTTCGCTAGTATTTTCCTGGGTAAAAACCGAGAGGAAGTAGGTACTGAAAATTTCACACATATCCTTATCACTGTCAGTAATCTGACCTGAGTTACTCTTAAGTGGGCCTATCTTGTCCCTAATCTTACTTCTGTATACCTGAAAGAACCCTTTTGGGATAGTCTTTGAATCCCTTGCAACCTTAGCCTCATAAATGTGTATGTAAAACTATAGTTAATCTTTAAAAAATGTATTTTTTGTATAATTATCAGAGTACAGTGGACCCTCAGTTATCAGCCGTAATCCATTCCAGGTCGGTCTAAACCCGAAATGGCTGAAAACTGAAATAATATTTCCATACAAATTAGTGTAAATCCAATTAATCCATTTCAGACACCCAAAAATATCAACAAAAAATACATTTTTTAAAGATTAACTAGTTTTACATACACAAAACAATGAGAACTAAATAAAATGACTAATGAAATGGATAAATGAACATTTAAATCACTTTTACCTTTAATGAAGAGTCTTGTTGGCGTATGCAAAACGGCGAGAAGCAGAGGGGGAGGCAAGTTTATTGTTGGGAGACAGGAAAAAATGCTTAAATATGACACTATTATCAACTCTGCAGCTTATTTATCTATCACAATTCATCTAATATGAAATAATAAACAATATTAATAACATAGAAACATGATGTATACTCTAGAATGAAAAACATATGGCATTACATATGTGGAGTGTTGTTGTTGTTGTTGGCATTAGAGGCCACTACCACTATTCGCACAAACACTGTACGTAATTTATAAATAAGAAATATTTACACTTTATAAATAAGAAATATTTACACTTACCATGGAGGAGATGCTGGCATTGGTTTAGGGTGGTGGAAGATAAATAGGGCAGCATATATTGTCAGTGGCCCTATATATACCTCCAAAAACATTGGAGAAGTCAGTTTCACGTCGTCCTTTTTCTATTGCTTAATCGCTTAACTTACTTGCTACACTGTTAATGCTACACTTTATCGCTGGCTGGCACTATAGCCTTTATCAACTCCTGCTGCTTTAGTATCGTACGTATCGCAGAATCACTGAAGAAGGCATTCTCTCCTCTCTCTTCCTCCTTCATTCTCATACTTTTCAACAACGTTCTTCAATCCATCGCACTTTCTTTACCAAAGGAACTTTACTAAACTTTCTTGTGCCAAAAATTGCTTATTTCACAGTTGCACTCAATCAATAACCACTAAATCAATGGATTACAGTGAAATGTTTGGATGAATGAGCAGAAGTTTCCTTACTTGCCCAAGACACAGCCAGACTGACTCACGAACGTGCGAGCGGCTTGGCGGCGGCGGTCAATAAGGTGAAACGGAAATAATGGCCGATAACTAGAAAAAGGAATTTTGTCCAAAAACACAATGTGATTAACCGAGTTGGCCAATACCGAACGCTGATAACCGGGGTCCACAGTAGTACACATAAAATATGGAAAACTCTAAACACTAAAATTCTAGAAAGTTTCCAGACATAATAGATGTGCTCACAGAGAATGTAAACAAACTGGGTGGGGCATGCCGTATTAGAAAGATAGGTGTAGCCATATAGCGAGTTTTGGTCATATTTGAAACTGCCGCATTAGCGGAAAAGCCAGAGGTTGAAAAGTCGTAAAGCGGGGGCCCTAATGTACTGTACTGCAAAATAGAAATGTCCATAGAAAGAATAAATTATAAATTTTTTTCATTTATAACCCCAAGTCCTTTAACCCTTTGACTGTTTCCGACATAAAAAAAAACGCTTACACCAATGTTTCTGAGTTTTTTATCGCCAAATTCTAGGGGGCTAAAAATAAAGCCCAAAGGCCGGGTAGGCCTACACGAGAGAGAAGGGGTCTCAGGGTTTTGGTGTGCCCCCTGTGAAAAAAATCGGGGACCCACAGTGCATTTGGAACGCCATTTGTTAGTCCATTTTACCTGCCTCTCGTAAGAAGTGCCTCACTCCTGGGCGGATTGGGGTCTTTTGTTCCCAAAGTGAAACTCTAACAGCGAAAAAATGCAGGACAGTGAATTTCAGGGTTTTTTGAAGTGAGTGTTCCCGGGGAAAAAGTGCCCAGGATAACGAAATTGTGTAAAACCCCGAGGACCCACAACCTTCCACCTGTGCTGTCCGGTTTTTCACGTTCCGTTCGCCTTACCAGACAAAAGAGGAAACTATTTGGTCTTTACAAAAACCCTGATAGCATGATAGTGAATGTTTTTAAAGGCATTGAAAGCAGTTCTAGTGACGGGAGTAAAATTTTCCCCCATGAAGCGCAGTAGAAACCCCCCCCCCTAGCATGGGGTCGGTAGTTTTTCATATGTTGTTTCCAAGGGAAGGGAAACTCTGGGAGCACATCCCGTGCCCTACAACCACGACCTGATAGTGAAGATGCGATATTGTAACGATGGGTATGAATGTGACAGTGAGGGAGGAGGCAGTGGGTGGGATAGTGAGGGGGCACGGCCCATGTGGCACCATCAGCGGGCCACGTACTACCCACGCTGCTGACGCAGCACAACAACCAGCCTCCCCCTACCCCACACTCCCACAACCTGCACCACCACAAACCTGCACAACCACAACCACGGTACAATATCCAGACCCCACCAGCAGACCGCATCTGGGATTGGAAAGGACGGTGACGAGTTTGTTCCAGTCCCCATGACTTTGATGAAACACAAAGTGGAATAAAGCCATCTTGTCCACTTGGGAAAAATGCCAGTGAACTGGACTGCTTTGAGTATTCTTCGATGAACCCCTGATGGACATCATGTCAGGGAAACAAACACATACTGTGATTACACCATGGCAAATACAATTCTCCTCACCAAAATCACGGCTACACAAGTGGAAGGAGACAACTGTGGCAGAGATGTACCTGTTTTTTGCCACAATAATGCTTATGCCACATGTGTATAAACACACTGTCACCACATACTGGGCAACAGAACGCCTGATTTCAACCCAGGTTTTAGTGACATTATAGGTGTCAATCGTTTCCCGATACTGTTTCGTATGTTACACTTTTCAGACAAAACCAGGCCTGACAGAAGCGACAGGTTATATAAGATCAGAAATGTGTTTTTGTACCGAAACAAAAGTGCTGCATGTATTTTTATCCCTTCAGGAAGCTTGTTATTTATGAGTCCTTGATTTTATTTAAAGGAAGACACTCATTCAAGCAAATATACCAAGCAAGAGGAAACGCTTGGTATAAAGCTATTTGTACTGTGTGATTGCAGAAGTGGTCTAGTTTTGGATTAATTGGTACACTGG